GGTACGTGGGCCTCTCACTGTTGTGGTCTCTCCCGTTGCGGAGCACAGGCTCCGGACGCGCAGGCTCAGCGGCCATGGCTCACAGGCCCAGCCGCTCCACGGCATGTGGGATCTTCCCGGACTGGGGCACGAACCCGCGTACCCTGCATCGGCAGGCGGACTCTCAACCACTGCGCCACCAGGGAAGCCCTAGTCTGTAAACTTTAAGTGATCAAGTCACAGGTATCTTTAAAGTCAACCATCAGTAGCTATAGTCACAAAGTAAAAGATTAAAAAAAAAAAAAGTCTGGAAAGAACTACCGGTTACAAATTGGTCTTTTTCATCCACACCCACGAGGATCACTATGTAGAGATGAATTTACTAAACTACCGAGGTGTCACATGTAGTTGTTGTTGAATCTCCTTCCTTAGCTGGGACTGCATTGATGCTACCTGCTGCTGGGTGAGGGCCTTGTCACAGGTCTGGTAGGTCAATCTATAGCAGAGGCTGACCTGTTCCGTCTTTGGATGCTGGAAACGACTAAGGAATTGTATGGATATGACAGTGTCCTGTGACACTGCTCGGGCCACAGTGTGAAACTCTACTTCATCAAATCTTTTCTTTGTATCTAACCAAAAACTAATATCATGCACATAGTATGGAGGATATAGGGAATAGCTTTTAAAGGGTTCTATTTTCCCAGGGGCAAAATTCTTCAGGAAACGATTATCAAAGGTCCACAACATCCTCCAATCAGAGATACCCCAGACAAGCATGGCTAATAGGTCCAAGTTCATAGACACACACACAAAACACTGGTCTTTGTGTATGATGCTTGTAGCAGATGTGGTAACAGACCCAATAATCAAATCCTTAACACAATCTGGGCCAAAATTTTGAGACTTCACAGTAATCATATAATCTTCCCCAGGTGGTTGAAAGACAAATTCCACTGAACTGCCCAGCTTAGAGCCCTTGAGCAATGTCTGGGTCAGAAGGCTATCTAGAATGCCCTTCAGATGATCCAGTAGTGACTGAAGACAGCCATCCTTCAGATTTTTATTAAATCCAAGGATAAACAAAGTCTCATGAAATGCTGGCATTGTGAAAGGTGAGATGCGGCACTTCTGAAATACAGGTCCACTGAGGATGTACAGAGAACCTGGGAGGAAGTCTGGTGCTTGGATTAGAGCCTGAACATGAATTAGAAGAGAAGGTCTAAGGCAGACCTTGGCCTGGCCATACGTTACTTCCTGAGCTTCTTCCTTACTGTCTCTTCTAGGGTTCTTGGGAAGGCTGAGTTCTGAAAATGACACTAGAAAATCCTCCATGTCTTGTGTTGTCCCACCAGTGAGGGACTCAAAATTTGAGTTATCTTCATGGAGACTAATCCAAAAGGCAGATGACAGGATGTCACAGTGGCAGGAAGTGAGAACACTGGTGTCTCCCTGTGGCAGCAAAGGGGAAGAACACTTCAGCCTTTTTAGAGGGAAAGCTTTCCCCATTTCAGCAATGAGTTTCTCATTTATGGTTTTGATAGGATGATATGAAGGTGCTTCTAGGAAACCCCTGTTTAAACACACAAAAATGAACTTTTTTAACTTAAAATTATTAATAATTATAACATAGCTAGAATTAAAAGCACAAATAGCTGTATAGAAAAGAATTATCCTTAAGTTGATCTGGAAAGGAAACAAAGAAATCATCTACCATAAAGAGAGATATCATGTGTTTCAGAACTCTGACAGCCTACAATAAACCAGAAAATATGACAATTTTTAAAAAAAATTTATTAGAGTATAGTTGATTTAAAATGTTGTATTAGTTTCAGGTGTACAGCAAAGTGAATCAGTTATACATATACATATATCCACTCTTTTTTAGATTCTTTTCCCGTATAGGCCATTACAGAGTATTGAGTAGAGTTCCCTGTGCTATACAGTAGGTCCTTATTAGTTATCTATTTTATATATAGTAGTGTGGATATTTCAATCCCAATCTCCCAATTTATCACCCCACCTTATCCCCTGGTAACCATAAGTTTGTTTTCTACATCTGTAACTCTATTTCTGTTTTGTAGATAAGTTCATTTGCACCCCTTTTTTTAGATTCCACATATAAGTGATATCATATGATATTTGCAGAAAATATGACAATTTTTAATTCTAAAGAGGCTTGTGCAGGCCAGACTGACAAGTATTCACAGCATGACATCATTAACAATTAATGTGGCATCCATTCAATGTATGGTTGCCTGATTATCAAGCCAATCAGGATACAACTAGAGATAGAAGTGATTTCTGGTAAAATCAGGTTACCTGTTCAGCTTTCCTACAAGTACTTCTGGTTCTAGAAAAGAAAACCACTGGTCACCCAGTTTGATCCTGGAAATTCTTGGTTGCAAACCTTCATAGGGTAAGCTCCGGGTAAAGATATGGTTCAAAGCACCTTCTACATGAAAGGACTTATCTTGACTCCTGGCAAAATAGACAGCAATTATTAAGACTGTCATTATTAAAGAAAGTATTTCTAGAGACTGAATCAAGAAATAGACAAGGAAAAAGTATGTCTCTGAGATTTTTTTTATCATTAGTGAGAGAGATGGAAAAGGCTTAGAACTCTGTTATTACTTACCTATATCCAGTGCACTTGTACCCTGGCACAGCCTCACAGCTGAAGGGATGCACATCACTTAAAATGAATCCCCCCAGAGCTGCCATAGCAACCACTTGCCAACTGTTGTGCCATTCTCTCATGGGCTTATCAGCAGGAGTCCCACCTTGTCCTCTACACAATGCCACATGGACTTCTCCTTCCTCTGCAAGAACATCTGCACAGCTAACGGGGGTAGGGAAACACCAGCCATTTATCAGAAACAAGTAGAAGTTACCATAGGAGTTAGCTGTATATATATGGTTTGGCAGTTAAATAGTTAAAATCAAATCATATCTATTTGCAAAGGTCTATTAGACTTCAAACATGCAAAAAAGTAGCTGGAAGTAAACAAGAATTTAAATTCAATGTTCAACTCATAACTGATACTAGTGGCTGACAACAGAGTTATCCAACGTTGTTTTTGTATTGTACATCTATATCTCATTGAAAAGTCAATGTCTATAAAGTTCCTATATGTGATTCAGCGATCAGGCTGTTCTTCCCCACTTAGAAAGTTATTCTTTTCACTCCCCTTCTGCCTGTTAACTTAAAATACTGCCTCTGTGAAAAGTTTCATGACAACTATGAGCCAAAGAGACCTCCATTAGTATCATGTGTTATTGTATAATAGTATAAAGCACTGTTTTGCGTTCACAATAATTTTATGAGGTAGTTACTGTTAATATCTTCAGTTTATGGATGAGGAAGCAAAAGCAAGTAAGGATCAAGTAAACTCAATCACAAAAATTACAAAACTATTAAGTGGTGGGTGGGAATTTGAATGCAGGCAGTCTGGCTCCTAAATCAGACTATACTACCATCATTTTGCATTATCAAAAATAGATGATCCTGGGCTTTCCTGGTGGCGCAGTGGTTGAGAGTCCGCCTGCCGATGCAGGGGACACGGGTTCGTTCCCCGGTCCGGGAAGATCCCACATGCCGCGGAGCGGCTGGGCCCGTGAGCCATGGCCGCTGAGCCTGCGTGCCCGGAGCCTGTGCTCTGCAACGGGAGAGGCCACAACAGTGAGAGACCCGCGTACCGCAAAAAAAAAAAAAAAAAAAAAAAGATGATCCTCCCTTTGCCGGCCGAACAATACATTATTAGTACTTTAATTCAGCATTTAGGGTTAAATGTCTGCCTTTCCAACTAGATTGTGGGTTCCATTGGAGCATTATATTCTCTTGTACGCCGTATTTCCCAGACTAACATGTTTGAGCGCAGTAACTATGTAATGTACCTCTTAAACATTTCACTTCTGAGTGCTCACCTCTGGAAAAACTTGGCAAGCAGTTCCCTGTTCTTAGCTACTCCAGCTTTGCGTCCACAGTGCGGAAAGTTAAAATAAATTCGATCAAACTCTCTGTCTTGCAGTTCAAAGGCATCTACCAGCTGGGTGCCGTCCACACCAAAGCGTACCTCGGTACCTGGAACAAAATATAGACAGAAGGATGTTTGAAGACCTGGAACGAGAGAAAACCCCTGCCTAACCTGAACCGTGCAAAACAACCCAGGTCTAGGTACACAGCAGGCTCTCTGTAAATGTCCACGTAAAGACCAAGAGCAACCCCCAGATTCCTTGATTCCCCACCTGCCCACCCTTTCCACTTTGGGCGGTGCCACAGCTGGGCGGGGCTTCACGGAGGGGTGGGCCTCGCTACCTCGCTCGCGCAGGCGCTGCAGATTCTCCCGGGCCAGCGGATCCCGCGTCAAGTCGGCCGGGCGCTGGAGGCAGGTGGCAGTTATACTGGTGCTCGGATCCAGGGTCTCGCTCAGAGCGGCTGCGAAGGAGAAATTCCCCTCCCCAACCAACAGGAGGCGCCGAGGGGCCATGGCCTCAACGTACTCCCAGCTCACGTTCTCGGAGGCAATCCTTTTTTACGTCACTTCCTTCGCCGGTTTCTTGCGGCCCCACCTCCTCACCCGTCTCTGGTTGATGACGCTACAGAGTGACCGGTTGTCTTGACAGTCTGGTGCAGCAACATCCGAGGAGGAAAATAGCCATGAGTGCAAAAGCGATACACCGACCACCCCTTCCCCTCACTCCCTCACCCTATCGGAAGTGTTAAAAAAGTTGCCTTTGGGCTTCCCTGGTGACGCAGTGGTTGAGGGTCCGCCTGCCGATGCAGGGGACACGGGTTCGTGCCCTGGTCCGGGTATATCCCACAAGCCGCGGAGCGGCTGGGCCCGTGAGCCATGGCCGCTGAGCCTGCGCGTCCGGAGCCTGTGCTCCGCAACGGGAGAGGCCACAACAGTGAGAGGCCCGCGCACTGCAAAAAAAAAAAAAGAAAAAAAAAAAGATGCCTTTGAGCCCTGAGCGACTTCGTCACACCTACATGAGGTCACAAGCAGTCACTAGTACCGAGGGACAGGTCGAAGGTGAGGCGAGTTCTGAGTGAAGGAAGCAGGGCCGGGCTGAGGCCAAGAAGAGGTTGGTTGTGTCCTGCATCCTTACACAGAGGATTTTCTAACAGCCTTCATCTCATCCGAAATGACTGCAACCCATTGTTACTGCTGTTCGGAATTTCTCCAGGTGCTTCTATTTCCTACCTTTTATTCATTCAAGAAATGTCGAGTGCCTGTTATGTGCCAGGCCTGTGAGAGCAGTTAGATATATGGAGGAACAAGATGTGGCCTGTGATTTCACCAAGCTTGTAGTCTGGTGGAGGATGCACAGCAAAAGAGGCAATTCTGATTTAGTGGGATGTAGTGCTATGAATGGAGTGATTCAGGGTGCTGTGAGAGCACACAGAGGGGAACCTTACCAAGTTTGGGGGTGAAGTGGAAAGATTCCCTGGATGAAGTGCACCTGGGTTGAAAGCTAAAAGGAGGAAAGTACACCTTACCTGAGTCAAGAGGAGTGAAGAGGCAGAAAGAACAATATATGCAAAAGCATGATGGAAAAACACAACAGCTGAGTTTGGCTGAAATGTACTTTGAGGGAGAGTGGGTAACAGATGAGACGGAAAAGTTAAGCAGGGACCAGGTCATATAGACATTTTAACAACCTCGAACCTTGCTCTGAAAACAGTGGCCAGCCAGTGAAAGATTTTAAATAGGAAGATGACACAATTAGATTTTCATTTTCAAAAATTCTGCTTTCCTATGGAGAAATGATAGGAGGAGGAAAAGGCGGATGGCAAGGAGGTCAGAGAGAAGGCTACTGCAATAATGGAAACTAAGGCTGATAGTGATATGAATTGGAACTTGGCAGTGGAGATGGAGGGTAGTGGACTGATTCAAAAATCAACAAGACCTAGTGATTGAGAATGGATGTAGGGAGTTGAAAGAGAAATCAGAGTCTAAGCCCCAGGTTTCAGGCTTGGACAACTGAGTGGGTGGTGATGTCTGTCCTTACAGTCCCAGGGACGGTGTCATCTTGGTTTGCAGTCTGAGTACTTTGTCTGTTGGACTTTGTAGTCATCATGCTGTTTGTTGACATCAGTGTGTGCATCTTTCTTCACAAAGGCACATGGTGTGAGAGCAGTTACCTTTAAGCCTACAGTGTTGGCTTTGTCTCTACCTGTGGAAAGGTGGGTGGGTGGTGACTCCCAAATCATGGCCATCTGGTGATCTGGGTGATCTATATTCTTTCTTTGCTTGGAGAACTGGGAGGGCCAGGTTTTGTAACCTCTCTTCCTTTAAAGAACATGGAGCGGCAGAGTGAGGTTTTCTGTCACTCTACTATAAAGTCTTCAAACAACACAGGCTCCTCAACTCCAAATTACTCAGCTTCCGGGAAGGTATTGTCTTGCTCCTAAGCCAAGGGACCAGACTCATCTTTTAACCAAAAGTAAACATGGTTAGGCTTCTGATTACTTACAAAAAATTGAAATTCAGACATTGGTCATCTGGTATGTGCAAAGTACTATTGATTAGGAGGGTAGACAGAAGGAGAGGATACGGTAATGAAAAAGGCACAGATCCTGTCCTCAAGGGATCAGTGTAGGGGATTCCACACTTCCTTGAAGAACTCTAACATATGGTATAAAGTTATAAATATATAAAGATGTGAACATAAAGTTCTGTGTGAGACAAGTGAAAGAGAAGTTAACTTGAGGGAAGGCATCATGAAAAGGGAATGCCATATCCTGAGAAGTGACATTTGATCTGGGCACAGAAGGAAGGAAACTATCATTTATTGATCATTTATTGTATTATCTAGTTATCCAACTCTCATTTCTTCCTGTTCCCTTTGACGATAACAATACTCTTAGTCCTTAAATTCCTACATCTCAAAATTACCAGAACATGTTCTAGTTCTCCATATAGTATTGGGGGTACTGAAGTTCTCCTGTCTTTTACGGGGGGGACATTAAATCTATATAGTCACCTACTACTGCTGATTGAGAGGGCAGGTCAAAGGATTCATGAACTTGGAGAGAAAGAAACTGAACCACAACAATTAAACTGGGAGGAAAGCCTAGATTCTTAGAAGGTGTTATGTTATGCTTGGTGAAGGAAGAGAAAGGGATGCCTTTTCTCCTCTCTGGTTTGTGCAACAAGCTTTTCTATTCCTGCCTTTTCCCAGAGAGAGTTCCTCACCTCTTTCCTTACAAACCCACACTGTGGCAGCCTCATTAATGCAGATGGCCATGCTGAAGTGTGGACAGATTGGAATGATATGTCCAAGTTTTTCCAGTATGGATGGAGATGTACCACTAATGAAGATGCCTATTCAAACCGTACCCTCATGGGCAACTGGAACCAGGAAAGATATGACCTAAAGAATATCGTGCAGCCCAAACCCTTGCCTTCCCAGGTAATCGAACTTTCTCTTCTTTGTTTCCTTCTGTTAGAAAAGGAAATACCAATGGCCATTTGAGAGTCAGGAATCTGATAACTTCCAATGCTGAGATTTCTCAGACTTCTGTTCATTGAGTGGTTGGGAAAGGGCAACAGTCCTCAGCTGGAATGCCTATCCCACTTTACTATCAAGTTGACCATTATATTATTGTAAGGTAATGAAAGGATGGGTAGCATGCTTTTTCTCTTGCTTCTCTTTGGACTTCATCAATCTACAGAAATATATATATATATAAAATGTCTTCTGACTCAGGGTAACTTCTTCCCTGGTCCCTGCCTACCTAGACTTGTTGTTTATCTGCATCTTGCCCTTAAATCTCCTAAACAAACAAACCAACAAAGGATGTGAACATTATTACGATATAGGCTAATGACATATAGACTTATAGTCAATCTAAAATATGACACAGCCTGTTAGAATTCATGTCACTGTATCCTGTATTTCCCAGTATTGGTTATAGACTCCTGTATTTTTAATCTACTACTTTTTCTTTGCAGTTTGGACACTATTTTGAAACGACATATGATACAAGCTACAACAAAAAAATACCACTTTCAACCCATAGTAGGTGGACCATTCTTTTTTTTTTTTTTTTTCATTACGCAGGCCTCTCACTGTTGTGGCCTCTCCCATTGCGGAGCACAGGCTCCGGACGCGCAGGCTCAGCGGCCATGGCTCACGGGCCTAGCCGCTCCGCAGCATGTGGGATCTTCCCGGACCGGGGCATGAACCCATGTCCCCTGCATCGGCAGGTTGACTCTCAACCACTGTGCCACCAGGGAAGCCCCTGGACTATTCTTTTTAATTCTTATATTCTCAGGACCTAACTCAGTGCTTGGAACATAGAAGGAACACAAATAAAAGTAAATTGAATGAGTGAATAAGTGAATGAATGAGTGAATGATTTCTCTGTTTTCTCAATTTTGACAGGATTCACTGTCTGTTCCCTCACTGTCTATTCCCTCAGATATAAGAATGAGATTGGTTACTAAGACTCCTCTTTTCTCTTCCCTCAGGGTTTAAGCGAGAGCCTCACTGGTTCCCAGGACATCAACCTGAGCTGGTTCCTCCTCCATACAAATGCACAGAAAAGTCAACTTACATGAGTAGCTATTCAGAGCCTCAAATTGATCATCACTCTGTGTGTGTGTGGAATCCTAATAACTGCCAATTTCAGAGTCCATGATTCTAAGAAAGAATAAGAAGATTCATTTTTCCAGTGTAGAATGTAGGAAGGAGCACATTCTAAGAACAACTAAGAATTTAGCTGACTGTAGCACAGTTTTACTCTCTGAATAAATAAAGCACAAAAAAAAATATTCTCTATTCCTTTTTTTTAAACCAAAATTTAAATGTCAAATTTAAGTTAATTATTTCTACTCTTAGGTCTACATTACGGGTGTTGTAGGAAGGCATTAAAAAGAATTATTTCTCTCAAATCTACAGCCACTCTGCTTTTCCCTGCCTTCCATCAGGGGCGGAACTGCAGAATCCATCATGACTTAGGATACATTTGGCTAGATGCTTTCTAGATGTGAGCCTGGTAGTCATGGTCAGATAGTTTACATTTACTGTGTCCTTAATGAATATATCCCCTCTTAAGGACTAGAAAAAGAAAAATAACTGTTTTTATTATTATAGAAGATTTAAAACATGCAAAAGTAGACAGAATAGTATAAAGAACTCCCATGTACCATTACCCACCTTCAACAATGGTTATAACCAATCTTATCTATCCCTATCTACTTTCTCTATTTTTAAATTTTTCTCAGAAATTATATCATTTCATCTATAAATAGTTCAGTTTATATCTAAAAAAGATAAGGACTGTCCATTTTTTACTCCCCCACAAAAGTCACCAAAGAAAAATTGATCAAACTAAACTGAGTTATTTATTAAGCCTTTGGCAAGGAAGAACCTCAACTTGACACGGTCTTGATAATGATTGAAAAGGGTGATGTTAGGGTAGGGTATTTTTAGGAATTTGGCATGACTCAGCTGCTTTAAGATGGGTCTTTCATTGTGGGGAACTGGCAGCGATTGAGAAAAGGTTGTGAATAGTTTAGGGTTGGTGAACACTGGGAGACAATAGTCTTAACATGGCTAAACATAAGTATTTTCCAATTTTTTTGCTCTCCTGTTTAAGATAACAATATAATATTTGGGAGATATCTCCCATATATTACCTCCCAAACCTTCATTATTTTATGTTACGGGTATAAATATGGAATTTATGTTATATATGATGTTAGG